AGAGAAAAAAAATGTGCCCAGAAAGATTCTGATCCCCTCTTGAGCCCCAAGAGCATCTAAGAGAAGCCCTGCACCTCCCAGCCTAAGTGAGCAGCCAGGGTTCCATGAGACCTCAGGACCAACCCCCCTCTGTGGCAGTTCATCTGAGTGAGTTCAGTCACTGGACAGGGACCTCAGGGACCAGGGCAGAGCAGGCCCTGAAGAGACACAGCCACACATGCACGTACTCTTACCTGGGTCAATGGTCACTTTAACACGGAACCCAGGGTCAGTTCCTCTTTTCTCAATCCCACACCAGTAAGTGTCTGTATCTTCTCGCCTGAGCTCCTTCATGATCACAGTGAACATGAGGCTTCTCGGATGGTCCCTGATGGACACACGCTCCCTCACCCCAAACGCTGATGCATTGGTTTGAACAAGGATCGTGCAGCTTCCAAAATCAGCCCCTCGACACCACCACTTCAGGTGGGTCTCCCATCCTGGGTCATAGCCACACTGCACGGTCAAGACTCCCCGCTCCAGACCTCTCACTGCTTCTGGACCCGTGATGTCAACTGATGAGCCTGGAAAACACAAATCCATGTGTCTGACACCACCACCTGAGGGCAGGGCCGCAGCCGCCTGCACTGTGAGCAGCTCCAACAAGTCCAAGGCCTGAGGAGTGGGACAGAGTCAAGGAAGGAATTCACCTTCCACAACACAGACCTTTGTCCTTCCAAGTTCCACTGGCTCAGAGCCACCTCCAAAACCACCTAACAGCACCCCTGCAGAGCTCAAGGAAACAAAAGCACTGACTCTGAGCAATAATTATCTCCTATAATTCACTCCCTCCCTCTCCCTGTGGCCCATAAATCTTTGTCCTTTTGCAGCATCTCAGTGTGAAACTGGTCTCAGGGGGAGGAAGTACCAGCGGACCCATTGCCACAGGAGTGTGATTGCTCCTGACCTGTGCTGATGGCCTCAGGAGGTCCAGCTGCTGCACCCGCTCACCTGGCTGTGCAGAGGCTGCTCCTAGTGGGTCTAGTGGTTCCACAGCAAACTGCAGCTCGTGAGCCACAGTTTGCCGACCACTGGTCTAGTGGTTCCACAGCAAAGCACCCGGCACTGATCCCATGTTCTCCACTGACTCGCCATACATTTCAGTTCCAGACTTTCTAGAACAAGTGATCTTATAAGAGAAAAGCATTGAAGCTACAACTTCGTGTGTCTTTCTTAAACCTAATAGAAAGGATTCAAGCAAGAGCTAAAAAGTGAGAAAAGGAACAAGCTCATGAGTCCTCATGTGGTGAAGACCTAGAGATGGGAGGTTCTCCTGGGTGAGCCAGGGCAACCCCGCCCTGAGGCTGTGGATCCGCTTCCTCGGTTGCTCACCTGGGAGGATGAGAAGCAGCAGAGCTGGGCAGCCCAATGGCCCCGCCTCCCTAGACCCTGTCCTCTCTGAGCACCAGCTCTACCCAAGGACTTAAGGTTCAGCCAGAATTAGACTCCTGGTCTCTCTCCCCATGATATGACTCCATGCGTCTCCGTGGTCACCGTCCAATGCCAGTGCCCTCCAGGGACTTGAGCGGAGCCCAGGCACACTCTGCCCTCGATTTGTCTAAGTCATTGTGTTTAGTTTCTCTCACCTGCTTCCCTTCAATTTTTATCTTCATTTACTTCCTCATTTCATTATGTAGGAGGAGACAAGCAGTGTCATTATTTATGAGTATATGGCTTCCTCCAATAATTTGGGGAAAGCAAAGCGTCCAGGCCTGGCCAGGGTTCCACTCTCGAGGCTGTGTGTGAGGAGCTGAGAAGGTGGCTGCCGGCAAAGCGGGCAGGGCGAGCAGCGAGGCCCCGGGAAGAGCTCAGAGATCAGGGCGAGGGAGTGACCAACTCGCGCTGGGTTTGCCCTTTGGGGAGGGCACAGCGCTCAGGGCCTTGGGGACATTATAAGGAAGGAGTGCTCTTTGGCTTCAGCCTCATTTTGTCCTGGATGCTTTCCCCCACATCCTTGCATATATCACTGGCTGTGGGCCCTGGAAGTGTGAAGGGGCCCAGGACTGCCTCAGGTCAAGGGCAGCTGGGGTTCAGCTTTAGACAAGTTTTTAAGTTTCTATGATGGGGTAGTTCCTGCTCAGGATCATTCTCGAGATCCCATGAGACAAGGAACGTGCTGCACTTGGCAGCTACCACAGGCCTCCCGGGTTCCAGGTGTGGTGGGGACGCTATGAGTGTGTCCCCTCCCGGCTATGAGTGTGTCCCCTCCCGGTCATGAGTGCCCTGTGAGCTGGTGCTGGCTGTCTGAGGGTCGGCAGAAGCAGAGCCCAACAGACACACTTGTTCACACCCAGATGCTCCCAGGAGTGTCTATTCCAGAAGGTCTCAGGAAGAGAACGTCTCTAAGCCCAGATGCACCCATGGCTCATGGTGGGATGTCAGGCGCCCAGAAGGCAACTGTTTGGCTGTGGAAGCCTTTCCAGACCTCGGGAGTGACCCACAGCCCCCAACTGTGCTGGGCCTCCTTCCCCCTGAGACCGGATATGGAGCAAGGGGTGGGACAGCGGCTGTGAGCCCGGGCCCCAACCTTCAGGAAGAGCAGGGACATCAGGGCACCAGAGGTGCCAGGAAGCCTTGCAGGAATCGAGGTCTCTGGTTCCCAAAGAAGAGGCTTCCTTCAGCCCATGAGCTAAAACTGGGGCCATAACCAGGATCTCTATGGCAATAGTCTCGGGTACTGAGCTGTGCAGAGAAAAAAATGTGCCCAGAAAGGCTTGATCCCATCTTGAGCCCCAAGAGCATCTAAGAGAAGCCCTGTACCTCCCAGCCTAAGTGAGCAGCCAGGGTTCCATGAGACCTCAGGACCAACCCCCCTCTGTGGCAGTTCATCTGAGTGAGTTCAGTCACTGGACAGAGACCTCAGGGACCAGGGCAGAGCAGGCCCTGAAGAGACACAGCCACACATGCACGTCCTCTTACCTGGGTCAATGGTCACTTTAACACGGAACCCAGGGTCATGTCCAGTTCTCTCAATCCCACACCAGTAAGTGTCTGTATCTTCTTGCCTGAGCTCCTTCATGGTCACAGTGAACGTGTGGTTTGTGTGATAGTCCCTGATGGACACACGCTCCTTCTCCCCAAACGCTGATTCATTGGTTTTAACAAGGATCTTGCAGGGTTTTAAATCAGTTCCTCGACACCACCACTTTCTGTAGGTCTCCCAATATGGGTCATAGCGACACTGCACAGTCAAGACTCCCCGCTCCAGACCTCTCACTGCTTCTGGACCCGTGATGGGATCTGATGAGCCTGGAAAACACAAATCCATGTGTCTGTCACCACCACCTGAGGGCAGTGCCACAGCCACCTGCACTGTGAGCAGCTCCAACAAGTTCAAGGCCTGAGGAGTGGGACAGAGTCAAGGAAGGAATTCACCTTCCACAACACAGACCTTTGTCCTTCCAAGTTCCACTGGCTCAGAGCCACCTCCAAATCCACCTAACAGCACCACTGCAGAGCTCAAGGAAACAAAAGCACTGACTCTGAGCAATAATTATCTCCTATAATTCACTCCCTCCCCCTCCCTGTGGCCCATAAATCTTTGTCCTTTTGCAGCATCTCAGTGTTAAACTGGTCTCATGGGGAGGAAGTACCAGTGGACCCATTGCCACAGGAGTGTGATTGCTCCTGACCTGTGCTGATAGTCTCAGGTGCTCCAGCCACTATGAATGTTCATATACACTTTTTTGCTTGGATGTGTGTTTTCAATTCTCTCAGCTATATACCCAGGAATGGAATTGCTGGTTCACAGGGTAACTCTGTGGAACTCTTTGGGCAACTGTTAGATTTTTTTCCTAAGAATTTACTTTTGAATACAGCTTTGGCTATGTTGCCTAAGTTTTGATATGTAGTATTTTCATTTTTCTTAAAATTTAATGAGTCTTTGACTGCCCGGTGTGGCTCAATGGTTGAGCATCAACCTATGACCCAGGAGGTCATGGTTCAATCCAGGTCATGGCACATGCCCGGTTTTGAACTTGATTCCCAGTTGGGGGCGTGCAGGAAGCACCAATCAATGTTTCTCTCTCATCATTGATGTTTCCATTTCTCTTTCCCTCTCCCTTCCCCTCGAAATCAATAAAAAGTATATTTTTAAAAAAGAAGAGTGCTTTTAAAAAATGCCATCGTATGGACAGACCACTTAGATTTATTTATGCATCAGTTGATGCACATGTGAGTTGTTCCCACTTTAGGGCAATTAGAGATAACGTTGCCATGAACATTTACATCCAACTTTTTACATAGACATATATTTCCAGTTCTCTTGGGTATTTACCCAGGAGTGGAATTCCTGGGTCACATGATAACCACATGTTTAGCATTTTCAAGAATGTCAAATTGTTTTCCAAAGTGGCTGCACCATTTTACATACCTATGAGCAATGTATGTCATCTAATGAATGTTAAGTCTAATAATTCCGTTCTATGAAAGTAGAAAGATTTTGTCTAGGGGTGGGATGATTACAACAATCATATGGCTTCCTCTCCATTAGATACATTCACTCATTTAACTCATACTGGTTGTCTAATCTGTACCTGGTATAGTTGTAGGTGCAAAAAATCCCTGCCCTCCTGAAGCTTATATTCAATCAAGGTGGGGGAAGGGAGGAGACAAATGGGAGAAAAAACATGCAAAAAAAATTGTTATTGTAATTAGGGTCATCAATGAAGGCCTCTGTGAGAAGCAAAGACTTGAAAGATGTGAGAGACTGGAACCTGTGGCTCAAGAGAATAGCAGTGCAAAGGCCCTGAGGCAGGAGTGTGCCTAACATGTTCAAAGAATATCTAAAAGTTCATTGTAGCTGAAGTGAGTTGAACCAGGGGGAGCAGAATAGAGAAGAGACCACAGCAATGACATGGAAGAACTCAGATGGTGAGCACCTCGTAGCTCAGAAAGTAGCTCGATTTTTACTCCGAGTGGGATGGGAGGTCATTGGAAGGTTTTGACTAGAGGAGAGACAGGAAGTGGTTTACATTGTCAAAGGGTCATTATGGGATGTGAGAGGAGATGGATGCCCCAGGTTTTGCCTGAGCACCTAGAAGGATGGAGGTTCCCAACGCAAAGGTGGGACAGAAAGGAATTCAAGGGGGAAGGAGTGGTCAGGTCACATTTGAAATGTCAATATATGAGTGGACTTGTTCAATGGGCAATTGGGTAGAAGATTCTGGAATCTAGGAAGATGTCCAGGGACTAGGGATACAGAATTGGGAGTCATCTGTACACAGATAACATTTACAGCCAAGAGAGGAGATGATATCAACAAGGGAGTGACTCCAGAGAGAGAGGAAGCCCAAAGGCCAAGCCCTCAGGCCTTCCAACATTTTCAAGACAATCCTCTTAATTTTTAATCCAACCAGTGGCATCCAGCAACTTCAAGTTCACTTCAACCCTCTGTCCATGTCTCAGCCCCTCCTTTCCTCTTCACCCTACCAAGCTACCTCCTCTTGATTTTTCCAGTCCCTCAGCAACTTCTGCTACTTCCTTCTACCTCCAAGACCTAGAATCACCTCCCCCTCCCTGTCTGGCAACCTCCCTGCTTTCCTTCCCTCAAGCACCTTCCACCTTCACTTCTTTCCCAAAGCCTCCCTTGCTTCTAACACAGTCACGAAGGTCCAGGAGCAAGTATCACCAGCTCCCCTGAGCAGCCAGGGCTCCTCTGCGTTGACCGATGGGCCCCATCCATCTGTCCTCTTGAATTATCAGCCCCCGGGGTGGTTAGGAAGTATGCCTTCTGCTGGGCTCAGTGTGAAAGCCAGGCTGCATATTTCTTCATTGGTAACTGTAGCCGGATGAACCGCACAGACTCATGGCTTGGAGGAACTACTTAGAAATGGGGTCCACTTCTCAGCAGGACACCTTCTGGGCCCCTTTCTCCTCCTGCTGCCACCTCCTCCTGCCCATAAACTTTTCCCACAGGTTCAGACCCAGATCCCACTCACCTGTACCTGGAACCCAGAAGAGGAGGGGAAAGAGCAGCAGCAGGTACATTTTCAGCCTCGCACGGGTCCTCCTGGGTCGATCCTCTCAGCAAGACCGAACTTACAGGCTCGACTCCTTCATCCTCCAGCTCTTCTGCTTTCACTCACAGTCACTCTCACACTTCCTCCCCTAGCCACTTCCCATGCGTGAATAGAACTAAAAGAGGAAGTAGCTGTACTGGGCAAGATTTCATAGTTGTTGTGAATAAGATTTTAAGTAATACCTCCCTGCCCAGAGCCACGATGGTTCTCTAAAGAGAGAACTTGCGGTGTTGCTCTGTCTTCTAGAAATTGCAGACACATGATCAGGCTGGCTCTTGCACAATCCTCTCAACTGGAGGTGGGAAACCCAGATCCCAACAGAGAGCCCAGCACTGGACACAATACCCTAAACCTGGAATTTCAGGTGTAGCCAGATTCTCAGGAGCCCAGAAGGTCAGGAGTTCAACCGGGTGAAGGAGGACTTGGGGCCAAAGTCAGAAAGTCAGAGGAGAGATTCTGGACCAGAGATTGGCATGAAGATCAGGCCAAGGGGGTATCAAAACGCAGCCTGCGAGAGAAACCAAGATGGCGGCATAGGTAAACACCAGAGATTGCTGCCTCGCACAACCACTTCAAAAATACAACTAAAAGATGGAACGGACATCATCCAGAACCACAGGAAGGCTGGCTGAGTGGAAATTCTACAACTAGAAGGAAAGAGAAAAGCATACCGAGACTCAGAGGAGGCGCAGTGCGGAGGTGAAATAATAAGGTGCGGAGGTGCGTGCGGAGCGGGCTGGCGGCTGAGGGACAGGTTGTCGTTTTCAATCGGGAGGGAGTCTCAGGCTCTGAGCTCCAGTTCCGGGTGAGTCTCTAGGGACCCAGACTCATACGGGAGAAGCGGGACTGTCTGGCATCGGTCAGAACCCGAGGGCAGTTTTCTCTCCGAGGGGCTTGCAGTGATTAATGGGACACTGAGAAGCAGAGTCTCTGAGGGCAAGACTGAGAGCAGCCATAATTGCTAACCCGCCCTGTTGATCCCGTGGGACCCACCCCGCCCAAGCCCTGCAGGGAGACTTTTGCTGGATAGCCTCAGGCAAAGGCTAGATTAGCACCTCCCTAGAGATCCAGGAGCCAGGAAGCCCAGAGGTCAGAGTGGGACCATCCAGTTTTCAGCTCCATGGAACCATAAAAGACACACTCAGGGGACAGACTCAGTGAGCACCAAAGCCTCATTGAAGCAAGTCTAGCCCCAGAGGGGTGTCTCCAGCACAGAAGTTCTCCCACTGCAGACACAGCTGATTCTCACAGCCAATTGGCCTGGAGGTCAATTCCTCACAGTGATAACTACAACAATCAAGGCTTAATTACAACAAGACTGTGCACAAAGCCCACAAGGGGGTGCACCAAGAGTGTCTACCTCAGGTAATTGGGACACTTAGCACAGAAAGGCACTCTATCGACACAGTGAAGCATAAAAAATGCCGAGACAAAGAAACAGGACACAATCGACAGAATTGGAGGAAAGCAAACTGCTGGATATAGAGTTCAAAACCACACTTTTAAGGTCTTTAAAGAACTGTCTAGAAGCCACCGATAAATGTAGTGAGATCGAACATCATAGAAACCAAGATGGCGGCATAGGTAAACACCGGAGTTTGCTGCCTCGAACAACCACTTCAAAAATACAACTAAAAGACGGAACGGACATCACCCAGAACCACAGGAAGGCTGGCTGAGGAGAGACTCTACAACTAGAAGGAAAAACAACAGCATTACGAAGAATAGAGGAGGCGCAGTGTGGAAAATTTAAAGGTACGGTGGTGCGGCGGTGCGCGCGCAAAGCGGGCTGGTGGCTGAGGGCGCGGTTGCCGTTTTCAATCAGGAGTGAGTCTCAGACTCTGGGCTACAGATCCGGGCGAGTCTCTAGGGACCCTGACTCAAACGGGAGAAGCGGGACTGTCTGGCTACGGTCCCTCCGAGGTTTGCAGCGGTTACGGGGACAGAGAGGCAGAGCCCCTGGAGACAGACTGAGAGCAGCCATAGCTGCTCCCTCCCCCCGCCCTGTTGAGCCCGCCCCGCCCAGGCCCTGCGCAGAGCCATTTGCCGATCGACTCAGGCAAAGGCTGGACTAGCGCCTCCCCAGAGGACTGAAGTTTTCCACACAGCTGATTCCTATAGCCAGTCGGCCTGGTGGTCAAATCCCTCTAGTGTTAACTACAACAATTAAGGCTTGGCTAGAACAAGACTGCGCACAAAGACCACAAGGGGGTGCACCAAGAAAGCATAAAAGATGCGGAGACAAAAAAACATGACAGAAATGGAGGATATGGAGCTAAGAATCGCAATTTTGAGGGCTTGCCATAAATTTGTGCAGAGCCTCACGAAAACTAATGAGACCCTCGATGCTACGATAAAGAAACTAGAAAGTAAGCATACACGGACTGAAATAAAGAATATTATACCCAATAGCAGACCAGAGGAGCACAAGAATCAAACCAAAGATTTGACAAAAAACACCCAACTGGAAAAGCAAAATGAAAAAAGAATCCGAAAGTGTGAAGATAGTGTAAGGAGCCTCTGGGACAGTTTCAAGCGGAATAATACCAGACTTATTGGGGTGCCAGAAGATGAGAGACAGCAAGATTTTGAAAACCTATTTCAAGAAATAATGGCAGAAAACTTCCCCCACCTGGTGAAAGAAATGGACTTACAGGTCCAAGAAGCGCAGAGAACCCCAAACAAAAGGAATCCAAAGAGGACCACACCAAGACACATCATCATTAAAATGCCAAGAGCAAAAGACAAAGAGAGAATCTTAAAAGCAGCAAGAGAAAGAGACTCAATTACCTACAAGGGAATACCCATACCACTGTCAGCTGATTTCTCAACAGAAACTTTGCAGGCCAGAAGGGAATGGCAAGAAATATTCAAAGTGCTGAATACCAAGAACCTACAACCAAGATTACTTTATCCAGCAAAGCTATCATTCAGAATTGAAGGTCAGATAAAGAGCTTCACAGACAAGGAAAAGCTAAAGGAGTTCATCACCACTAAACCAGTATTATACGAAATGCTGAAAGGTATCCTTTAAGAAGAGGAAGAAGAAAAAGGTAAAGATACAAATTGTGAACAACAAACAAGCATCTATCAACAAGTGAATCTAAGAATCAAGTGAATAAATAATCTGATGTACAGAATGAACTGATGATTATAATGAATCAGGGACATAGAAAGGGAATGGACTGACTATTCTTGGGGGGGAAAGGGGAATGTGAGATTCGGGAAGAGACTGGACAAAAATCGTGCACCTATGGATGAGGACAGTGGGTGGGGAGTGAGGGCGGAGGGTGGGGCGGGACCTGGAAGGAGGGGAGTTATGGGGGGGGGGGGAGAGGAACAAATGTAATCTGAACAATAAAAATTTAATAATAAAAAACAAAGAAAAAAAAATGTAGTGAGATCTTCAAGAAGACTGGTGAAACCCTCGATGTTGTGATAAAGAACCAACTAGAAATTAAGCATACACTGACTGAAATAAAGAATATTATACAGACTCCCAACAGCAGACCAGAGGATCGCAAGAATCAAGTCAAAGATTTAAAATATAAAGAAGCAAAAAACACCCAACCGGAAAAGCAAAATGAAAAAAGAATCCAAAATATACAGAAGATAGTGTAAGGAG